TTGTGAAGACTAAAATTTGGTGTAAGGAAAAATTATTCTATTTATGCTTAACAATTTTGTGAAAGTAAATTTATGTCGACAACGGCCGAGTACCATACACGTACTCAGCAGTTTTAAGATTGGAATGTATATAGGGAAAAAAACCTTTATCGGGCGAGCTATTAGTTTGATGCAAATTCTATTGACGTTACTATTGTGTACAACGCACAATAAATGGTTAACATATGGACATTTCAACAAAATAAAAAACTAGGATATGAATAAATTCATGCAAATTTTAGCCTTGTATTTCCAACAGCAAAAGTATTAATAACCTCACCAATATCTGGTACAATTTCCTGATGAATTTGCATCAAGGCCAAACCATTTAAGCGTTCCCCAACCATGGTACTTCGCTGATAGTTTTTAAGTGTCCTAAGGGAAGAAATAGATCGTTCACATTCACAAGAGGTAATGGGGAGCGTTCCTAAAATACGTAGTAAAATTTTAATGTTTTCAAATCCGGCGAAATGAACAGATTTTAAAGTCTGGGCAATGTTATCAGGAAGGAGGCCGCAGTGGGTCTCCCAATAAGTGTACCACAACCTAAGTTCAGCATCTAAGGCCAAAGGATTTGGCAAATCATCATAATAAAAGTTAGCCACAGTTTTGAATGGCTCTTTCCAATCCACCCCATCTCTTGTCATGGACATCATTTTCGTCGGTACAATGCTAAGGCCTTTATAGACATTCACACTCTCAAGGTCGAATCGTGATTCTAAAGAAGATTGCAAATGATCTAGTAGAGGAAGAGTAATTGCACGTTTATAATACTCAGAAATGGTTGTGTGGGGAATATTTTCCCTGGTCGTTTGTTTGCGCACTGTTCTTGGTTTCCATTCTTCAATGCCAACTTTGCTGCCAGTTCAAGCGCTTCGTCATACCAGGTGTCATGATAAAAATCAGAGGAATTCCTCATGTTCACCACCTCAGTTTTCAAAGTTGAAATTAAATGAATACCATCCATTATATCGATACTCTTACCCTGTAATAACTGTGTTACTGGAAGAGTTGAATCAAGAATATTTCTCGTGATAACTAAAGCAACGACGAAATCAAACCTGTCAATAAGTTGAAACAAAGATGAGGCATCAGACTGAAGCGACGGTTTGAACTCACCATCTAGATTTTCAGACATATCGTTAAGGGTGGTGTATACAGGTACAAAAGCTCTTGGAATGTATCTAAACCTTCGATACGTTCTACCCATCTAGTTTTGCAAACGTCTGTTAATCTAGTCTTTTCGAGTTTGTTTCTGAATTACGTATATGTTTTCAAAGGGAATATTGCGAGTTTGGGAAATTTTAATAAAATTAGTGGCATTGTTAACATGTTTCAACATATCATTGACAACACGTATACTCAAAGAATCGCAAATGGATAAGTTTAACCTATGACTATAGCAGTGTGTATAAAGAGCCTTTGGGTTAAGCTTTAAAATTTGAGCTGCTAGACCATTAGTGCAACCAGCAACTGAACCAGCCCCATCATAACCTTGCCCCCTACAATCATCTATTGATAAAGTCAGTTCCTTTAGAGCCTCTAAAAGTAGCTTGGCAAGTTGAGCACCACTTAGTCCCCACTTACAAAAAGAAATGAAATGAATTCTTCCCTGATATTCATATCGGTATCAACAAAGCGCAAAACAAGAGACATTTGTTCTTTATGTGAAGAATCAGATGCTTCATCAGCAATAACAGAAAAAAACTTACTTTTTTTGATATCAGAAATAATCTGATTACTGATTACCTGGCCACAACATTTAATGATTTTATTTTGACTTGTTTTAGAAATATAACTTCTATTCTTACCACAATTCTTTAAATGATTTTCTAAAACTTTATCCCCTCTCCTAACTCCATAATTGAGTGTTTCAATGAAATTACCAACCCCTCCAGATGAATAACAACCAACAGTAGGGTGATACTTGGAATCATCACGATGCCCACGAAGAGGTAAACCTAGACGTCCACAAAAAATGACAGAATCAATAATTGGAGATAGTATTTCCTATTCTGTTCTATTTCTTTCTTGATACCAGCATCCATGATCATCTCGATAGGCTGCAGAGTACCTGATATTTGGGAACGCAAAGCATCAAAATTGGTGATGTGGATGCATGCAAACCGACTTCCTCCCTTTACTTTTTCCAGCATGTTGAGTGAAAGAGCATTTAGCATTCTTCCAATCTTGAAGAGGTTCAGTAAACAACTTTTTTACTTTACTGGCCTTGCCTGGGAATCTATTGCCAAACAACACACACGATAGACAATACGCACCATTTTGTGAAGGTGAATAGCAAAGCCATTCATGCTGGTCTAGCCAATCATGCCTAAATGATCTGCCATTAGATTTAGGAAAATGATACTTTTTATCTGGTTTATATACATTTTTTATCAAATGACATATTTCAGAATTATCCATACCCTTAACTTTCTCCCTATACAAGGAAACATCAAAATTATGGGTTAAAACAGCAGGTTGCATATCACCAGAAGTTGGAATACCAGGCAATAGTTCCTGGGATGATGTGTGAAGCAAAAGACTATTGGCTTTATTTAATGTCTGAGCAAGAGCTGCAGCAGAAGAAAAACTCTCATTGGGCATCCTTTTAAAAGTTGGTTGGGCAGCAGGCCTATTAGTTGAAGTAAAAAAATTTGAAATGTCAACTGTTTTTGGTGCAATATTTGGAAAAATTTTGACAAATTTTCGTTTCTCTGTTGTTGAGCTGCTAGAATTAGACTGTGTACAGGAATTAGACAATTTTCGCTTCAACCTGTGGGCATGGAAAATGAGAGGCACAAAATGATTAGACTGAAAAGTCTCACCTGGTTGTACAGATCCTTCATGACAAAACAAAATATTAATAGCATCCAAACCTCTTTGGCTTAATAACCGGGGCTGAACAATACGATTAAATAACAATTTATATCTACTTTCACCAGAATCAGGATAAAAGTATGAATTTTTCTACCTAAAACAGAAGATAGGCCCAAAATACAAAGAAAAGATGACCATTTCTGGTCATTACAATTTAAAATAGCCTCCTGTTTTACCAGTTCATCTGTTGTATATCCAGTGTCTAAACATTCTTTAGACACTGACAAAGGCAAAAGATTGTTTAAGCTTTGGGCAAAGTAATCACTGTGCTCACTTATAACAGACAAAAAGCATGGGTGTTGAGCATAAAAGCAGCATGAATAAATAGCTCAAGCGATGTTAAAATTCGCAAAGTAGGGACCAATGCATTGTTACCTACCAGAACTAGGGAAGCTGAACTGTAGAGGCAATTGCCAGAAGCTTCAGATCTTAAAAAATATTCAAGAAAAGAAATTAATATTTTGTTTGGTAGATTGATTGCATTGTATGAATGAATTGCTGACTGTAGACAAAGATATAGCCTAGCGAAATTGAGATTTAACCATTTTACACGTATATATAAATACTACAATACGATATATATAATTATAATATATTTACCTTATTGCAGTACAAGTCTTTCCGTCATGAGCGTGCTTTGGCACATATATTTCAGCTCCAAAATTTCGACACAGAGTATGGTCGGGGTCATAAATTCTATCTAACAGCTGCTCGTTAGTAAACATAGGTCGAACGTCGACCAATAAACGAGAATAAAGCTCATTAAGGCATTTTAAATCGTTTTGGCCAACGCAGACTGAGCAGTCTCGTATGAATTACCACAACACAATGAAGACATTATAAAATATCACAAAACCGTAAACTGAGCACAGAGGCTGTTCAGAAACAATACGAGTGTATGTTAATTTTCAATTGCCTAATTTGCCTAGCTCAACTATGCTTATCAACAGCAATGATTGGTTGGAATTGCTCAAGTTAGGCAAAAAATTGACCAATGAAAGCATACGGTTGCAAAAATTGCCCAATCAGAATACCTATACACGATGTCAAGTTAGGCAAATTCATCTTGTTTAGGCAAATTGCTAACAACCAATCAAATGGCTAGATCGCCTTCTTGACTTAGGCAAAATGGCTGCTTTGCCTAACGACACGGAGCTTTATAGATAATCATACGCATCTGGACTACGATTCATATCAAAATTACGTCATTTAATTGCACAACATTTCTAAACAAAAGTCAGATGATTTGACTGCGATAAAGTGCTATTCATAGTTTCATAATTCGATAAATTCGTATCGAATCTAAGTCGAAGTATATTTTGGTAATTTCACCATAGGCACTTGCCTATGGTGCCTACCCCTAGATCCGCCCCTGATTCGAGGGTGCATTTATTGCGGTCTATCGTACAAAATCGAACTATTTTTTCAAACTTGACATTCTTAAATGCAAAGAAATGTTATCAATTAAAAAAATCAACAGACCAATTCAATAAATAACAAAGGTGAGTTAACGTACATATGATTCACTCTTAATTCCTGTTCTTTCAGAAATTTCCACTTTCAAAAAAAAGTGAAATCGCCAGGTTTTTTGCATTTATCGGAATAAGTTTATTATGCTTCCTTCACTAGAGTTCCATGATTTCAATATTATTGTTTTCTTTGACGCCAAACCACTTGTTGAATTGATTAAAGCTCGCACGTAGCACATGCATACAAAAACTTTTGTTAGCGATGTGTTTCCTCAAAATATTGGTCATCAATACACAAAAATTTTACTCGAATTCGGTTTATATTAGCAAATCCTTAAAAAAATTGGCAAATTGCTTGAAAAATGATAAGTTTGCCATTCTTTAAAGTGATGTGATGATATGTTGCCCAGTACACACTGAAAATTGAGTGAAAAGTTGACGTATGTAATTCTGTTACCCACGGTCGTGTCTCCAACAAAAATATCAACATATTTTAGACATCTTAACCTTATCTCAAGCATGATTAATTCCTGTTTTAGAAAAATTGAAGACCATAGTCCTAGTATGGTATAGCATCAAGCATTTTAATTTATTTGTTGCTACCACTATCAATGTCTGTTTTGTGTTAAAGATTAAGCAATGCATGCCTGTCAAAATCAATATTGTCTATGTTTTTGTCATTAGAAGTAGATACTGAATTTTGGTTACATCGTTGGCACTATTTTCAACACTTAAAGGTTTGTGAAACGGATATCAATAATCATGTTCAGACGATAGAAATTAGTAGATTTATCACGAGTGAACTTAAATCTAATAAATGCATGCTTAGGGAATACAGTATGTTTGTCAAGCGCAAATTAAGTGCAGCATATCTCCATAATGCTTCGAACGTGAAAGGCTTTACAAACCTGAAGCTTAACAGAAAAACATGCACGGCTTTTTTTAACTCGCATCAAGTCTCGGATTTACCAAATAATGTCGCTGTTGGCCGTGCCAACAATATCTGATATTATATGCAGTCTTTGTATGAGCCATCAACATGGACGATTTGTAAATGAAACTATGCACTTGCCGGCAGTTATATACAGGTTATTGTTTGGCCGTATTTGAACTGCATTCTTGACTTGCAACCGTTCTCTTGAGATTTATCAAACAATGTTGCTCGACCACGTCGGCTGGTGGCAGCAATAGCACTGATAAAATATTTTTTTGTATCATACCACCAACATTGTTGAATTGCAAGTCAAGAAATATATATCCACAGTATTAACCTGAAAAATGAAGAGATCCAAAATTAATCTTTTGACGCTTTAAATATCATTATTGAATGAGAGAAAAGGATAATCATTGTTATGAAAGTACATGATTATGATTTCATGTTTATGAAAGTAAATGATGTATATGATTTCATCGAAAATAATATTCATTTGCGAGACATGTTTTCAGTGGTAAACGCTCATTTAGCCTAACCTAACCACTCAAAAGCGATTTTCTCAGTATCATCAGTAACATATACTTAAATACCAGACTATAACAGCTTGCAATTCATTTTTTTTCAATAAAAAACGTATTTCGGATAAAATTCTATTGTTAATCATGTTAAATTATTCGTAAGTCGGTAATAACATTCGGATTATGTAAAGTATAATATAGATTTTATAGAGAAACAAAGCAAATGTAACGAGCAACGATATTATAATGACGATCTTCATGTGATATGGCATATGTCATATCTACTTAATTAATTATGCAAAATACTGTATTGTTTATATGTTTTCGTTTGATGTTCATATCTCAACAAATCAAAATTGCATTCGCCTTTTGATCAACATGTTTTTGTAACACAGATATTAGGGCATGTGGTCTTTTTTTGTTTCGGTTGTTTTTCGGCCAAAAATCTTCAATCTACAAGTAAAATCAAGTAAAGAAAGTAAATTCTTAAGATCAGTCATACAATGCTACATTTATTACACATCTAATTTATTCAACTCAATGTACATTGTAGTTGTTTAAGTTTTCATGTTCTACAATGGCGTCAGATTATCTTAAAAACCACAAAAGATTTTGGAAAAATGATGAACCTACGAAAATTCCGAAAAATAAACAAATTCCAATTCAGCACAGTGATTGCATCAAAACGTTTCTGAAATGTATCCAAGATGAAGGTTTGCGAAAAGCTTATAATCGTTACGGATACAAACCGGTGGAATCAAAACATCCAAGATCGATAATCAATGATATTGAAGATGAAAAGATCAGTGACGTCATTATAGTTGGTGCAGGAATGGCAGGTCTAAGTGCAGCGTATGAATTAAAAAAAGCTGGTCTTTCTGTGAAAATTCTAGAGCAAACAGACCGTTATGGAGGAAGAATATTTACGTATGGTGAAGAAAGCGGTCTTGCGTCTGGTTTGTATGCAGAAGGTATGGATAAACTCGCTCAGTAAAGTTGTCTGGTAAAATTAAAGCTATTTCATTCATAAATCATAAATTCAAAAGCTTTGCCACAGTTTTTTCACAGAACTGTAAAATTGCTGCCCCCATAGGTATAGCTAGAACAGCAGACAACAGCACAACTAGGAAATATACCTGGCATGCGTGTGTCAACCAGAAGCCACATTGAATAAACGACGACTGTTACTGGCTGACAAAATATGACGAAAAACAGCAACTTATTTTGTATAAACATGGTAATCATTACAACGATATTAGCTGATTAACTTCTTGCTTTCGACGGTAAAAATTCCAATACAGCGAATGCTTTCTTAAACAATACTTCCAATCGTTCTAGCTGTAACGTGCAGTAAGTGAATAACAAATGATACCAACACCCCACCCCCATCGAAAACTCTTCTATAGAAATAAAAAAGTTTACTTTAAAGAATAAATAATTCAAAAATCGTTTGTCAACTACAAATTGAATCAAAATTAAAACAACAAAAAATTTCAACGAATAGCTGAAGTAATGATGTTGTGAGCTTATGCTTCTGTGAAAGATTCAACAACTAGGTATCTTTTCTACTCTCTTTTTATGTTATTCATTCCATCTGTTTCCAAGCATTCGAAAAATTTCATTATCAATTGATAGTTTTCAGTTGCTTGTCAAACTCCTTAGTTAAATAAAAATAGGAGGAGGCCTCCTAAAAATTATAAGTAGCATTTTGCATGTTCGCTTTATCAATTAAAAATCAAAGAATTTAACATTGTTAAGCACCCTACAAGGTGTTTCTCATTTTAGAAAGTTTTAGACATGCATGCAAATGTAAAACATAATATAATAAAGTAAATGATATGCCATCAGTGTCATATAGGAAAATGAAAATAGCTGTTTTAGTACCATTTTCTGTCTCATCAGGTGATGTTAACAACAAAATATGCTATTAAGGGAAATCACAATAACTTTCTGCGAGATTTTTTTGAAGTCTACCAGGCCGCAATAAACATACGTATGTTTTATATTCAAAAGAGACCTGTATCTTTCATAGGAATTTTACTGTTTTAATGTTATGAGTAAGGGGTGCTGTCCTTTCAAGAAAAGTTAGGAGGGTCTTATAGCCTTCATTGCTTCTCCGCTTCCAACTCCCCTGAGTTGTGCCTATATTCTTTAGTGCCAAATCTGATGATTGTGTTGGGCATTGAATCACACAAACCTTTTTATCTGTGGGGTGTTTTCAAAAAAATATACTTATGTGTGTGTTTGACGTCATTGTCGTGTTGGAAGACACAGAACTAAAAATATATTCTACGAATTTTTAAATCTACAGGTTATACACTTTAATGAAACAGTTTTTTCATAATCAAGTAATCTAGAAAAGTCATTTTAAAGAGAAGCATTGATTAAAGATTGAGAGATTACACTCTTTTCTTTTAGAAAATGCAAAATTTTATGAAAATCACTAGAATACATGAATTTTTTGGTATTATATGATATTGGCGACCATCTACATATATAATTCTTTAATCATGTACATGCAGAAATGAAAGAAAATCTTACAATTTTCAACTAAAAAAATATTTATTATTTTTCAAGCTGGAGCAATGCGATTGCCTGGAGGTGTGGATGATCAATATGAAAAACAACATTATTTAACGGACGGTTACATCAAGAACTTTAATCTACCTATCAAATGTTTTCCAAACTACGATGAAAATGTCATTACTAGCATTTATGGTCTTCGCGAAAAATCTAAAGGTAAAGTGTATAAAAATAGTGAACAAAAAGTGTGTAAAAGCAGAGATCGTGTAATGTAAATTTAACAAGACGACTTTTAATGCATGTATTGGGAAGATGCAATTGCATGTCATGAGAAATGTTTTTCTATTTCCGCTAGCTAGTCAAAACGATGCTTGCTAAACATATAACATCAGAGGCTTAACTAGAACGTTAATTGGGGAGGGGGGCATATTCATATATTCCGCCTTGCCCAACTGATTTCTCATGAAAGTGATTTGAGTTTCAAAGAAATCGGCAGGGCACAACGGAATATATGAATATACACACCCAGTTAACGTTCTAGTTACGCCTCTGTATAACATATTCAAGTGTTGTTCTTTTATACAAATAGAAAGTTTGTAACATGAAAGGCAAACATCGATAGAAAGAAAACTCAAATCATTTCTATAAATTTACAACAATTATTTTCTCAACAACGAACTTAGGCCTGCATTATAACTAATACTGGATTACACTTAAAATGCCTGCCACTACAGTTCATTATGACGCTATATGCAACTGGATATTGTTAGTACTACTCTTTCATATGTAATGATTAATTTGCTAGAATAATTGTTTATGCTGCTTTGTGTCTCATGTTTTCAGTTTGGGCTGAGAAACATTTTGACAAATTTTGGCCAAACTGGATGGATGGAATAAATGAATTATTACGAAAAGACATTTTGAATATTGGTAATTATACAATGAGATGTTTTGTCTATTTTATGATTCAGATATGTAAAAAAACTATTGACGAGGCATGCAAGGGAAAACAACCATATTTCATTGGGTGAGAATCTATGTCTTGAGAATAAAATCAACATTATAAACTGTTAGTAACAATAATTTACCTTTTTTAATCAGGAAAATACTACGACGAAACAACAAGTGTTGTCAGTGACCAGATTTACACTTGGTTATCAAAAGCAAATAGTGTAGATGATCAAGTTAATGCTTGGGATCGTTGGATTAAAATTTGGAGTCGGTTCACGGTGGAAAATTTTCTTGAAAGTACTATCAATGTAATTAAAGCTAAAGTTTCTATTCAAGAGCAGGAAGACTTGGATTTAATAAAGCTTGAAAGTCTTTTGCCATTCTAGCGACGCCGTTCAAGGCTTTTCTGTAGTTTTCTATGCGTATGATCTTGACCAATCACTTGAACACTATCTTTCTTTTCCATTGGGAAAATGGCATTCTCCTGAAATGCATTGTTTGAAAGGTGGCATGCACAGTTTGCCAAAAGCGTTTTTCAATAGTGGAATATTAAATACAGATGACATAGAATACAAGAAGCAAGTATATGAAATAAATTACTGGTTTAAAGATGATTGCCCGCTCAACGATTTTGTAGAGGTGTCTTGTTATTCAAATAGTGGTGCATCAATTGTTTATAAAGGAAAGGTAAGTTTAGTTAACCGAAATTAATTTAGTCGGAAATGTTTGCTTAACCTTTTACTTTACGAACTTGTTCAGTGATTGTTGAACTACTATACTGCCGAAGGGTTTGTTAAAATAAAACTCCCCCACAGCGAGACATCTGCGTCTCTTGTGAATTGCAACCTGTGTTATGTACATTAGACTGGATAACGCATCTCTCGTGAAAATTAAAGCGGGAAGTTCGATCATTTGCTGTTGACTTAATGGGGGATGTCGGTCTTACTTTACCATCCTTTTGTATTACAAATTCACATTTTTTGCTTTTTTATATTTTAAAAACTTCTGATTTGGACAAAGTTTTAATGAGATGTACAGGAAAACCGGTGGAGAGTTTTAACCCTAATGTTGTATTTTCTGTGCATTTGTAATGACTGAGAAATGAGATAGCATGTTGTATCGCCATTTAAAAGTTGAAGTTGACAAGGACAATTTTTATTCCGCGAGGCATTTTTCGAAGATGAATTCTCAATCTGCAACAAAGTATCAACAAACGCCTTCATGTCTTCAATATATTCATGTATAGTGTAGATGTTCATAAAGGAACTGGTTAAAACTTTGCTTCACTGATGAAAACAGAAGTTTAGCATATTTCTATAATGTACATCTTGTATATTTTGATGATATAGTTTTCAATTTACTGATGTATATCAGAACATCTTTCTGATTATATGTCTATGTTGAATTGTTTTGTTCCTTTACTGAAAAAACAATAAAGACGTAGTTTGATATTACAACCGTCATTTTTAATGTTTAAATTTGTGAAGAAAAGAAATGTTTCAAGCAAATGTTTGAAGCAATCTTCCATGAATGTCAAGATGCTTTTGAGACCGAGTGAAAATATTCTTATTTTTATAAAGAAAAATAATCGCATTTTAAATTGCTCGATGTGGCTTGTTGAGACGAAAATTGAATTTTTTATTAAGTGTACTGTCTCCGAATAGTAAAATTCACTTTTGCTATGATAAGTATCACTTAAATACATTTTGCTTTCTCTTCGAACAATTTACACCGCTCTCAAATAAATTTAAAAATTTGATTTTCTAAGCAAATCTTTTGCCAGAAATAACTCGTCGACTACAGTCATAATATCGTAAAAAATCCCCCCCAGCTGCAGCCAATATAAATGCAGGAAATCAAAAACTGTCCTTCGCATGCATAAACAAGAATCGAAGTAAAATATTTCTGGACGTTTTTGTGAAAGCTTTAAAAATCTGTTGATGATAATGGTAGTTTTGAACTTTTTTCATGTTTGTTTGGAAGGTGTATATGAAAAATGTATTTAAAATTTATTTAAGAAAAGGAAGTTTCATCCCGTGTCTGCACGGGCTGATGGAAACCGAGGAGACCTTTCAGACAAATCAAGAGCAGATCAATGCAAGCCCCAGACGAAAGGTCAAGGTCCGCACTTGCTCGAGAGTTCGTATAAACGTCTCCGAGGTTTGCATAAGCCTGTGCAAACACAAAAAAACATCTTTTATTTCTTTTACAAAATAACAGTAATAGAAAACAGAAAAATTTGAAAAAAAATTAATTTGCATTATCTCATTGATTGATTGATTGATTTTGTTGGTTGGGCTGAAATTGGATTTAACAGGCTAATGCAAACACAGCAATAGACCAATCAGAGCATGCACTTATTTTTTTGTATAAAAATAGAAGTTTCTCCGGATTGTATATAAAATGATTTTATTGAGCTTTCAACTCGGTGCTTCGAGCCTTCATCAGAAAGATATAGGAAGTTATATACTGTTCTTTTTCATATGTAGACGATTAGAGCGTCTAACTGGATTAGTGGGTGGATTAATGTGATTGGATGATGTGGAATGCGTTGTCATGGGTATTGGTGTATTGTGAATATGACTGGTGTTATTATTATTAGAGTGTAATGCTTTGTCTTTATGTTTGGCGAAACATAATTTGAGTTTTTGTGTAGGTTTGTGAGTGACGTTAATATTAAATGGTCGAAGAAGTCTGGTAGTCATTTCTGATGTTCCGTTTATGTACATTACCATGTGACGATTTTTACTATTTCTTCTGGTTTCTTGTTGCTTTTGTCGGTTTGTGTTTTGTTTTGTATTTTGTTTATAGTTTTGTTTATGAAGTTTCTAGGGTAATTGTTTTTAATAAATGTGGAGTATATAGTTGCGTTCTGTTTTCTTGGCTTCTTCGGTATTACAATGAGAGTGTATCCTGTTAAAAAGTGTTCGAATGCATCTTATTTCGTGTTGTGTTGGGTGGAAGCTGTTGAAATCGAGTATTTGGTCTGTGTAGGTGGTTTTGCGGTATACTTGAGTGTTTAGTGTGCCGTCATCTGAAATTGTAAAAAAGAAAAATCATTCAGAACTCTTAACTATGAAAATATTTTATTTTGCTTATGAATGCGTGCTAATCTTAAACATAATTATAAATATGTATATACATACATGGAATATATTCCAAATTACATTTGGCATAAAACAAAATGCTTGTCAATGTAAATGCTCATCTATGTAAAAGTAAAATTACAATTGAAAATAAAAATTTATTTCAAAAATAAAAATCACAGTTTTTGTATGAAATGAGATTTCTAGAATTCCTAAGAACAAAATTATCATATATTTTCATAAATATTTCTTTCAACAGCTTAAAATTTTCTTAAAATGCATTTAGGAAACTATTTTTCACCATTTTAGAAAAAATTAAAATATATTTTGAACATATATGATGAACACATGTCTTAGGAACATTGACTGATTACGCAAACCTCTCAATTTTGCATCAGTAGAAGTTGTGTGAGTGTCGCAGCAGCAACTATATCATAAAAAACATTACTTTAGGACTGATTACACTAACATATGCAAGCGCTAATTAACCAGGCTTTCAACGTTGGTTCCAGCGTTGCTATAACTTCGGACTTCAACGTTCTATGAACGTTGCTTTAACGGTTAATTACTACGTCGCTAACAAACGTTGTGTCAACTTCAGTACAACGTCAAAATAATTACTTAAGGTAGTGCGAACGTCGTTAAAAAGTTAGGTCGGACCTGACGTTCTCACAACCTTTAACCAACGTCATAAGTAAGTCGTGTGCAAGCTGGGATACCCATCATGCACTCACAACTAAAGAAAAAGGACAAAAAAACTACAAATAACGCCAAAACTACAACAATGCACTATTATGGTATTAACAGCAGTCATATTCACAATACATCAATACCCATGACAACGCATTCCACACCATCCAATCACATTAATCCACCCACTAATCTAATTAGACGCTCTAAAGCCTAGGCCACACTATCGTCCATATCGACGAAAATTAGAACGAAAACTTCCGCAACGAAAATTTTGAACGAAAACTCGACGAAAATTTTTTCGTTCATATTAGAAGAGTTGAACTTTTGACCTTTTCGTCAACGAAAACGCATACTATTGGCTAAAAATATCTTGATAATATCAGACTTTGTTCTCAAACATGGCGGAGTGGCAAGAGGTTTTGATAAATCTGATGCGAGAAAACCAATTTTGTATGATAAAAGTCACCCGGATTATAAGGACTCGAGGAACAAGAAAAGAAATCACTGGCAAGATGTTTTAGATGAATTTAATAAAATTACGGACTTGGCGTGGATAGTGAGTATTATTGATAGTGACAAACTTTTATATCAAATCATTCATTTCCATTACTTTTAAACATTTTAGCAGTAACTTTTTCTTAAGAAGTAATCTTTTTCTTTTAGAGATCGCCATTGTTTCTAATCCGTCAAAATGCTTGCTTATTGCCAATAATGTTTTGGCTTTGCAAACATGCTTGAAATTTTCGTCGTGTCTGGCATGCATTTGTAATCGTTTCGTTTTCATTTTCGTCAATTTAGACGATAAGGCTTAAGCGTCTACTAATGAAAAGAATTGTATATAACTTCCTATATCTTTCTGATGAAGGCTCAAAGCACCGAGTTGAGAGCCCAATAAAATCATTTTATATACAATCTGAGAAACTTTTATTTTTATACATTAAATATGCCTGGATTACCAATCTTTAAACGTATTTTTTTGTATTTTATATTACTATCTGATTGAAAAATTTTGCCAATTGTTAATGTTAAAACTTCTAATGCTCACCAATAGCTTTTATGTTAGCTTCAAAAATTTTAAGATTGTCTGTGTAAGGGAATAATTTAACTTAAAAATATCTTATGCTTACGTTTTTAGTAAATACCACAAGCATCCATTTTGAGAAGTTCACAATAACGATTGAAGTCTTGAGTTGTTCAATTTCATATGACTTATTGTTGTCATCGTCTTGCAATTCATTAGCTTCAATAGTCGATACTTTTTGCTGTAAAATAATGAACTTTTATGATGTACAAGAAAAACCTCATTGGTTAGTGCGAAAAATTCAGCAGTGAAAGACGACATATTTCAATGTTATATAATACAGCAATAAGTCATTCATTCATACTTTAGACAAATTTCTTTCTGTATGGAGACAATTTTCCTGACTGGCTGAAGACGTGATATGTAAGTGTGTGCAACGGTAAAATTACTACTTTGTTTTTATGTAGGCCGTAATTGTTGCCACACCAACTAATATTTTGCGCCAAATCACTTTCAAATCAAAGCTTAACAATAATAAGTCCCAGTTGGCGACAAGAAAAAACCTTCAAGCTATGAACCATATTCTTACCTTGCATTCATCAAAATCTTTCTTCAAACCAAAACAAGATTCTGGGAAGATGAAGGAATCAAAGGTGGGTTTTCAATTACAAACCTCCCATAGGTCAGGTTCATTACGTCACCCCGGAAGACCCCTGCACAAAAGAAGGGCTTGTAATGATTTACGTATGGACGAAGGAGGCTTTGCTTTTTGGCTCCATGGAAGAAGAGCAAGTAAAACGAAAAGTAGTGGAACAACTCGCAGAAATTCATCCAACATTAAAAGAAGAACTTGTATCAAACTGTATAATTCATCATTGGTATAGGCTGCCATCTTATCAAGGCGCGTGTGGAGCAATGAAAACTGCTCAATACGGCAACATCAGGTAGGATCATTTAGGATAACATGCAATTTTTTCATGAAAGAACACATAAAAGCTAGAGTACATAAAATTACAAATATAGCTAATATTGAACCATAATTGACTAATTATAGAATATGACCTTAGCGAGATCAAGTTGTGTTCATACCACGTTGTTTACTGGCCACGAACTTTGACTGTATGATGAAATACAACATTGCCACAAGTTTTTTGCCGTAATTTTTATAAGATTTTCAAATCCTCCATTTTTTTACAGCTGATTTTTCAGAACTGGGTGCATAAAAAATCAAATTTTTACTTCAACTTTTAATTTTTAAGACTGTATTTGAAGCTTGTCTTAGAAACACGTACTTACATTTTTAATAAGTTGAAGAATTGTGGCAAATTTGGTTGATATCTGAGCTTCGTATAAACTTTATAGGTCAAACAAATTTTTTATTTGGTTATGACATACATTGTTTTTTTGTCAAAACTAGGTATTTATGGGAGCCTATGGGAAACGTTCATTTCGCTGGTGAAGGAATTTCCTTTACACAAAAGTGGATACAAGGTGCTTTAGAAAGTGGTTTAAAAGCTGCATATCAAGTTTATGAGCGACATATGGACAGAAACGGTCACCATGTTTAAATAGACACAAGAATGTGATAATTCCTTCAATACTTATCTATTTTTTCAAATATTTGCATAAACTTTTTAACCATTTTAATAATTGTCCCCCTGTTAAGAATAAATTACTTTTGACCTTCACCTCTCGCAGGAACTTAAGCCGTCATGGTATTACCTAATTCCAACGAATGGAGAGAAAAAGAATTATAACAAATAGACCTATTTACCCTTTTTTAATTCTGAAGCTTAGGCCATTTAGTAGCTATGGCTAAAATAAAATTTTTGTTGTTTTAACAATGAGAAACGTACTCTGCGCGAGCAATTCCTTTTTTATCATCATATTAGATGTAATGTGTCATATGATAAAATAGCATTAATTTTTATTATAAAGATATGAAATACTTTTTGCAATGAATTTTTAACACCAACAGCCCGTTTTTTTCTCCATGAAGTCAAACAACAGGCTAGTACAATTCTTTTTTAAATTGAAACTGGTCTAGGGTAAGATTATCTTTAAATCACGATCTCTTGCTTCTTTTCCCATTTTTTGGGAGGGAGGGGTGTAACATAGATAGTTGATCACAACACATATTTCAACCAGGCGTAGTGAACTTGCGATACACGTAGAGCTTCCATATCGTAAGTATTAAGGAGAAACGCATGGAGGTAAAGCTATATCCATGCATTTAATAACATAATTAGTGAGAAAATATTTACCGTTTTCTTCTGTTATAGTTGAACACAAAGACCGAATTCGAAATCGATGTGACATGAATTTAATTAATAAAAGGAAAGTTGATTTATGCGTTTTAGCCTTATTATACTCAGCTGTTTTTTTCTATCTAACAATCTAACTATCTAACAATTTCTATTCTAACAAAGGTAGAGGCCAGGGCCTGAGTTATCATACAACATTTCTTTCAACGTCGAATGTGGAATCACGTTTTAAATATTTGTTAGCTAAGTATGTTAACTTGAAATATATAATGTGCTAAGCATTTGTGAAATATAAATCCTTTTAGCAAAGCTCAGTTATGAAATTATATGATTTCATTATATAAAATAAATACAATGAGTTTATAAAAGTGTATTTAATTTACAAAGATACCAGGTAGAAAAGTAAAGTTCTGCAAAAAGGTGGAAGGACAACTTTTGATACAAGAGACTGACTCGGTTCTCAAACTTACGTTTGAATGTCAACTTTTCTTCATCATTACTTCATGGAAAACATCGTTCAATCAAGAAAAACGAATTTGCGTAATTCCATCAGTAAAATTACAATCTTTTTCAATTAAGTAATGTTAACAATGCAGCATCATTTTTATGCATATTATCATTATATGCATTATCTTTTAATTTATGTCTTTTAAATATTAGCTATCATGAAAAGTTGTGAGTGCATTTTAATACGTAATATAAAAATCAATCATGTTGCGTACATATTTTAAGACCAGTGACGTTTAAGGTGTAGGCTGACAAACCTATAAACATGCAGCAATTGCACAGCACGATACTATAACGACGATTATGCCTCCATTTATTCCGCCGATGATCTCACCTATTTCTGTACAAATTAGAACGAAAAATTAAATTTTGAAAAAGTTTAAAATGAAAAGCAAGTTGTTGTACTCTTATTACATTGATGAGAAGACATTTAAAATGTCGTTTTTTTATGTATATATTTGCAAATTATTTGTAAATCTGTTTAACGACTTAATCAATTCTGCAACTACGTAGCTAGATTGAAGAATTTAGAGGGTTAAGATGCATTGTATATTTTATATAACAGACAAAATTTTTCAATTTTATGTCAATTATTTGTCCCACGATATGTCAGTGTACGTATGGTTTTCGATTAGGAATAAGCTTCTAAAACTCGAGCATTTCTTAACTTACTTGTCGCTGTACTGCTTTCCTTTTTTTTCATTATTTGTACCGCGCCATGTTTGTTCTAAAATAGCAAGTTGTTATGCCTCTTAAATTCAGCAATTAGAAATCAGGCTAATTTCTATACAAATTTTCAGTCTTCTCTATCAAACTTTATGCACATGCGTAGCATAAATTGTTGCTGCTGACTGTACTACCAGTGTCCATGTTTTATTAATTAAAATTTACATATTCATTTTTAATCTCTATTAACTAAATATCCGTCAACCGATCAGAAGACACTGTCGATCAGCTGAACAAAGATAGCTACATGAAAGGAAAATTTTTAATAAATGTGAATGCCCTTGTCAAGCCCAGCAAAACTTTAAATGACGTTTTGCCCTTGCTTGCATGCAATTGTTCATTGAATACATGAAAAAGGCTTTTAAGCAGCTGCATAGACTCAATGCTTTATATTAAGAGCAGAAGTTAATCTTCCCTCTCTGATTTGAAATGGTATAGCTATGATGATAAAGAACGAGAAATAATTTGCCTGAAGGATCAAAACTGGAACTAAGATATTGGTCCATATTGAAAAATTTTTTTATTGTTTTGAACATTGCAAATCCCATGGGAAATGGCCAAAAACACCTAATATAATTAAAACAACTGTTTAAAACCAGAACACATTTAGCAGAAGTTGACACCTGAACAGTATTTGGAAGAAATGCATCGTGTCTTTTAGATTTAAAATAGTTCTTTTAGAACTATCGGGTAATTAATCTTAATATATACTGTTATTCTACGAATTAATATGTTAGTTTGGTCATCCACCAAGGAAATTGAGATATTAATAAAACAATTTTTAGATTTTTTGCAACGGCAATTGTTCCTTTTGATTATTATTGAGCCGAGAGAAATTTAATTTGTGCAAGTTTAGTATAATTTAACTTTTATTTACTAATATTAGAAAACTTTTATGTAATGAAAAACTTTTTTTATTTATAGAATTGTTAAGTAAAAATTAGAAAATGCTTCATTTGGCACCGCAGAACATCAATAATTTGGTGGATGATGTATTTATAGTAATAGATGTTATAATAGTTTCTACAGAATGAGCTGAAAATAAAATGTTGTCTGAAAGCAAGTTCACACTCAATTATAGTTAACAGACGAAGGTACATGCATATTCATTATTTTATGTCAGCAGTCAGTACTAAATAATTGACCCTTATTCGTATAATGCTTGCCTATACAACATATAAAAAATTACGAATCACAATGGCCTTTATTAACCATCTAAAAATAAAAGAAAAGGTGATGCGTTGAAGATTTCTCTCTATGTTTAGACAGGTGTTTTTTCTAGATGGTCCGTTCTTTTTTAACTGTAAATTGTATTTATCAGCAGAGTCTGAAATGTTTGTAAAAAACATGGCACTGGCTGTACAGTCTTTTGATGATAAACATGTGGAAATAAAATTAATGACACCTTAAAAAATTGCAAGAACAAGTATAACACAAAATTATGATGATTCATTAAAGTATCACTTTATTATCATTTAGCAAAGAAAAGTTTGATTCATTCAAGTTTAATGAACTTTAAATCCTAAACTACCACCGAAAGATTATTTAACTAAAGAAAAGTTTTCTTCAATTAAAACTGTGCTTATAATTTTTTATGGAATTCCAAAAAAAATCTACAAAATAATTCATCTGTGATCACGGAAGATTGATAATTAAGATGGGCCCCTTTCATATATTCACATGTTATAATACATAATCACAAATGATCATAACATGAACCAGAAATCGGAAATGCATATATAAATATTCAGCTCACCCACCAATCCCACCTCTCCCCATTTATCGATCATCAAAAGTCCCTGCTGACTTAAAAAAAATTAATGGGCGTTGTACATTGAATATAGAGGACAAACTTTTTTAATATTTATACTATAACAATAATAAGGTAATGAGATGAATTAATGGGGAGTGTGTTGCTAACTACACTTTAGTTTCAAATATTGTGTTGTAACTAAAAACTTGAACATTGAGTTCAGAGTTAGTTTCGTTAATGTGCAGTGCTTCTTTGATTTTAAGAGAGAATGAGGTGTCTGCAATGTCGATGATTCTGAAGCAAAAAGGTGAATAGTTGGTTTTACATGAGTGAGATTTAAGAAGGTGTAGGTGTAGAGTTTTGTCAGTTGTGGTATGTTTCCTGATTCTGGTGAATAAATGGCGCGAAGTTTCGCCAATATATCAGGAATTACATCCCGCGCAATTGAATTCATATACCGCCATTGATTTAATTGAATTAGAGATTTGTCATTGAATGAGAAGAAGTTTTTGATTTTAAATAATGTGAAAATTTGTCGAATGTCAATATCCTTTCATAATATCCCTAAGTCTGCGCTGTGTGTGTCGTGAGTAATGTCCGATGTATGGCAGTTTGAAGTATAGAGTTGTTATTTTGGAATTTTCATTTGTGTTGGTCTTCACGGTCGTGTCAGGAGTTTCGGCGTCCAGTTTGAGGTTATTGCCTTGTTTGTTGTCGAGATATCGTTTTACAGTTCGGTTAATAAAGTGTAAGTGGGAAAGAGTTTCGTGAAAGAGTGGATGTGATGTTTTTTATGTCTCTTTAAAAGCCATTGTTCGTATTGCTCAGTTTGTATGCTCTGTCGATTAGTGTGTGTATAAGTCCGGTTTTGTATGAAAGCGGTGCAAAACTAAAATAGTTCATCACAAGTCATTTAAAATAGACGACAAATTTCTTTATAGCAAAAATTTTCGGCATACTTTATACCATCTTCAGTGCGAAGTGAATAAATATAGTAGGGAAAGGTTTCCTTAGCTGATAAAATTTCATGGCCTCAGTCGCATTAGTAAAAACACGAAAAATATCGTCAACGTAACTGAGGTAAAATGGTGGTTTAGCGTCGTTGTAATTGTTTAGCCAGTTTCGTTCATGTGAGCCCATGAAAATGTTAGCAAGTATGGGGCCAAGGAGAACGCATCGCAACACCGTCCGTCTGGTCATAAAATTATCCATTAAATAAAAAATGCGTCTGTGCTGTCGCTATCGAAAACAGTTGCGTGATGTCCGTCCTGTTTATAGTGATACTGGGGTTGTGATATTGCGTCAATTGCTAGGTTGATGTTTTTAGTCGGTGGTATGTTTGTGAATAGGCTTTCAACGTCGTAGGAGATAAAGAATTTGTGACAAGAGGTGGATGAGTTGAAAGATGAGAAGTCGTCGTGGAAAGTGAAAGAATCTTTAGTGAAATGGTCATCTGGTACGAGTGGTGTTAGTAGAGAACTAAAATACTTAGCTAAATTATAATTGTATGCGTTGATTGATGAAACTATCGGTCGTTGATCTGGTGCTCGTTTCTTGTATAGTTTCGGTAAGCCATAGAAGCGTGAGAGTTGAGAACCTCTGGGAAGATTTCATTATAAACTTTGTTGTTAATCGAGCCTTTCTTTAACAGTCATTGCAGTTTTGCTTCATGTGATAGTGTGACGTGGACTTTGCTGTATTGTTTATAATTTTAAGACAGGAGTTACGATACATTTGACGATCCAGGATCACAACGCCGTTGCCTTTGTCCGGTTTGAGAATGATAATGTTTGGATTTTTGCGAATTTTTTTAAGGATGGGATGTTTTTTGAAGTCAGCTGGTGTCGGGTGATAAGATGAGATGTACGAGTGAGCGATGTGTGCCCTGCCAGCTCTGTTTTGAGATGCGTGTAGTTTTCTTGACTGCGAATGTTGTGTTTTATAGTTTGGTGGATTTTTTCGAATGTTGCCAGAATGTCCGTTGAGTTGAGTCGTAGTGGTTTAATGCTGAACCGAAGTCCAAGTTCGTTTCCTTATTATTGTTATAATTTATTTATCATACAAACTTTGTATAAGCTTTTATATAAACGTTATATTAAATAGGTATTATTCACTTATACTAAAGATGGCATCATGAGACGCCGAAACATGTCTATTCTAAAAACACTCGTCGTCTATATTAAATGCACATTAACAATAGCGCTTCTACGAAATTATGAATACAGGCTTTATAAGAACTAACTTGTCCTGCTACCGAATCATCCTTGTGTAGGAATATCGATTATTGGGGAATGGGCCATATTGATAAATACATAATATTAGTGTTCAATTCATTTGAAATGCATTATTTAAATAAAGGGATCAGAACATACGACCTTCGAAAGATACGACCTTTAAAATCATAGAAACGTATTGCACATAAATCCAATAACATATTTACCATTTACTGTGCTATTTATATAAATCGATTGAATAAAAAACTTAAACAGATTTCTGGGCCGCCTATGGTGAACCATGCATTCATTAACCAATCTTATTTACATACAATGTTTTGAAATTGTAAGTCAATACGCTGAATATTGGCAACTTTGGTGGCAATGTTTTGAACAGTTAAAGATTTGTGATGCGAATAACATTGATGTTTGTGCTCAGTAAGTAAAACTATTTATATTTATGTCGATTAGACTTAAATAAGGCTTTTATTCTAAAAAATGTTTGCCTATAAAATACAGCATGTTTTACCACCACAAAATACAGCGCAAAATATATGGACTCAATCTGGCTCGATCTTGCCTCGATTTGTGAAAGGCTTTATAAATCTCGAGAATAATATGTGATTACTTACCATAAAGAAACATATTGGAAAAATATATGAGAAATTTATTTTTTGACTTGCATCTAAGCTTGGGATATTCACGACTGCGGTGCTCAGAATAAAGCTAGGTTTCCATATGATCGTGAACGTGTTGCAACAATGTCGTGAATGTAATGACAGTTTCGTAAATGTCTTGAAAATAGAATATAACTCTATCTTTGCGACTCTGCAACGACATTTTCGAGTCATAAGTCACAACCATGTGGAAACCAGACTTTAGATTGACAGCTAAAATTTTCATTTGTTGAGATCAGCAACATTGCCGAATTGCAAATAATACTTATCTTGGAGGAAAATTAATTTTGTTGTTTAGAAGCATCATACTGAAATATATGAACATTTAGCCTGACATATAGCTACAGTATATCAATTTTCAAAATGAATAGATAAGAAGTTTATATCTAGTTCATGGAGGTTACACCTCTGATTCATTAAATGATTTTACCAGCTGATAGGTAGCAATTGACATGTAAACAGTTCGTGATGCTTTATTACATTTTAATTAAATAAAGTAATCCTTTTTTTGACATTGTGACAGTATTAAACAATGGCGACAATAAAAACAATCAAAACTTTACTGTTCATTTTACTTTGGGTAATTCAAATTTACTTAAAATTGCTTATTTCAATCATTTTTTTCTTTGTAAAGTCAAACAAAACAAAGCAAAATAAAATAACTTTAGTGATGTTCAGGTGCCGATTTACGTAGGATTTTGAATACTGTCCACCAATTTCATGCCGTGTAATACCATATGTTGATTAAAATTGATTCAAGCAACATATAGTATGTAGGTCCATACAGTCCTGCTGACATTAGTGGCTTATTGGACTCTACTTTAGTTGTAAGCTTTTATCAATAAAAATGGTGACAATATACTCGAATGGGTGCATACTAGAGCTCATCTGATATCCAATACACCTTTTACATACAAACATAATAAACAGTAAGCCGATATAGATGGCCAATAACATGGACATCTTTTTAAAAAAGGAAAAGTGTGTTTTGTAAGAATTAAATATGGTTCTTACACCAATCCATGAAAGTATAACACTTTACCACTACCACACAATCACTGCACTCCAAGTACCCTGCATGTAGTGATAACTTATATAGTATTTATTAAAATAGAGTACTATATTGAGCTATGTTTGCTTTTTGATTTGAGTTTATTGTAGATCTATTTAGTGCAATGTACAAAAGTCTGAAAACTTATGCTTGTTAATGTTCATATTTGTAAATTATTTCTTAAGATGTTTTTCTATCTTCTAAATGACAACTGAGGTTGATACACAGTTTAGTTTGAAATGAAAGTTACATATTTTATTAATAAATCAGTAAATGGAGTATTTCTCCACCCCACTTTTTTATATCTGCTGTGCAGCATGAAAGGTCATTATATAAGGTTTAATACCACATAATATTTGATAAATAAAGTATTAAATTCTGAATATGTGTAACAAAACTCCACTTCACTTCCAATACCTTGACCTAACACTTTGATTAATAAAGCATATTACATTGAAGATGTTTAAACAATAATCCTATTGCTACAACACATTAATCCAAAACTTAGTATTTATTTGTAGAAAAGCATGCACTAATCCTTAATGGTATGTAGCAAAGCCATTTATGCAAATACAGGCTATTGTGGCTAAACTTGATATATTTATACAAACATCCCTATAGTTAATTTTTCTTTTACATGTTAAAGCCAAACTTAAGATCAAAGTAGGTTAATAAGAGTTTGATTATTTCAACTTTATTCAAAAAAGGCGCAGGTTTGCTAGAACATTAATTAAACATATGGACAAAAATAAAATCAGGGAGCTCAGCAGCAAAATCACTGCCAGTGAAGTGAAATATCAAACATTAGAACTAAAGTATGGTTGCCAAAACTATTTATAGAAAGAAGAAAAGCACTTTAGCCAATCAAATGATGTTTTGATAGATTGGTAATGATCAAGCCATTCCCTATTACAGACTCATTGCTAAACTGCTTGATGTAGAATGGCAACCTCATGACATGAACATTTTTATTTTTGTATCATTATGTAACAATGATCTAGCCTGCAATTATTTCACCAATTATATGAACTATGTATAAACATATATTTATCACTGTAGAACACTGACGAATGACGTATAAATATTAAGCAGTAAATTACTATAATGCCTAATGTGCCTATAATCACAGAATAGATATCTTAACAGAAGGTCCACTTGTGTCGGAAACTCTGATGTAAGTTTCTCTCACTTTTTTGAAGAAAATTCTAAGCAGACACACCGACACACCTTTCAGCAAGATACTTCCTCTAGCTCGCAATAGAAAATATAGATGTTTTGCAAATATATCTATATAATTTACAAATATATCAATATAATTTACAAAAATTTTTTTACAAATTTTGCACTGCGTTTAGAACCTTACCTTCTTTGCAAGATGATAACTCTAAAAATTTCGGCTATGTTAATCGATTAGTATTTTGCTGTTCTAGTATCCTGATAGTATAAAATCAAAATCAGATTGGTTTAGGAATTTTACCATAGGCAAATGCCTTAGTTGCCTACCCCTAGATCTCCCACTCATGCTCATGTAATTTTCAAAATTGATTCTTGACTGCGGTCATATATCGTAAAATACCGCCCAATTCTGCAGCCAATCAGAATGCAGGGAAGCATTCACCTTCCTGATGATTTGTAAAACATTTCTGAGAAAGAAGTAGGTAAGTACTTTGCATTTGTGAAAGTACAATCACTTTCATCATGATAATTAAAGTGAAATTGAAAATAGAAAGTTAAACCGTGACTTCTTTTCCAGTTTATTTATTTCCACGATTGAAGCTTTTAACTTGCGACGAGAATCTCATTAATGCCTACGTATGAATGAGCGACGTTTAATTGCTAATCTTTTCCCCCCTTGTTTCTCTTACGACTGGTATATCTACATGTTTTTTGTTTCGTTTAGTTTTTGCGTTTTACAAAACTTGCTGCATGTTTTATAAAACTTGTACATCTTTACATTTTGTCGAAAAAGTTACGTGATTACTTCAGAAATAAAAGATGTTTGCTTTGTTTGCACAGGCTTATGCAATATGAGGTGACCTTTGGAACCGAATGTCGTGGGTTGCACATGCTCGAAAGTTCTCACAAAGGTCTCTGAGGTTTTCATAAGCCAGTGCATACACGTAAAACTTCTTTTATTACTTTTATAGAATAACAATAATGCGACAAGACAAGTTTAAAACAAAGGTTTTAATTTTTCATCTAATATTTATTCATGATCGATTTGCAAATTCTCTTTGATTGATTGATTGTTTTGATTGATTTGATTAGTTGAGCTCAGACCTGTTTTACACTGACTAATGCAAACACAGCTGGAGACCAATCACCGCGCGCCTTTTATTCTTTTTTATTTTATAAAGGAAAATAATATGTTTGAGCCAATTAAAGCACCTGAATTGACGCTTGCCGTACAACAACAACCGTGTAATCAGTTATATATGTACATGCATATCCCGCTTCTATAGAGCATGTTTTGATACCATGCATTGTTTTCTTAATGAAATAATTTTTGGAAAGTAATTTTTTAGTATGTGTGATTTTTTTATGATTAAGTTTCAGATAAAGTTGTTTGAAATAGCATAAAAGTGACAGATAAATGCCGTTAAAAAATGGGAACAGTATTGTATACAAATCAGTTGCATAACCTTTAAATGCTAAGAGTGTTTTGATCTTGAATCAAAATTGTATTTATATGTGATGGTGAAATACATACTTGCGACTCCAGTTTTGTATGAAACTCAACTGTACAACGTAGCAAGTTGACAATGTACTCAGTAAACGTTTAGGGTTTTTTATTTGTCTTTTTATTTTTATGTCTTTGAAAGTACAGGTCGAAAGGAAAATTTATTAAACGAGTATTGCTTAGATGCCCGAGAACATTGTATTTTGTTAAAATTACATCGTAAATGAAAATTACGTTCGTTGAACATTAGCAAATTTTAACACAATGATAAGGTATTTTTTAAAAAAACGACATAGTGATTTTAGTGAGGGTTTTTGGTTGAAATTGTAATAAATGTCTCCTAGAAAGCAAAGTTTTTTACGAATTGTCATATATTACTTTGTTGACTTGTATATGATTTATTCTACTTTCATTGCACTAATTAAAACTTCTTATTCTCTGCATTCAAGAGGTATAAAATGGCGTCACAATATCTTTTAAGTAATAAAAGATTTGGGGAAAATGATGAACCTATAAAACTTCCCAGAAACAATCCAATTCCAATACAGCACAATGACTGCATAAAAACATTTCTGAAATGTATTCAAGATGAAGGTTTGCAGAAAGCTTACAATCGTTACGGATACAAGCCTCAGGAATCAAATCTTTCAAGCTCGGTTGTCAGTACTGTACATGAAGATGAAACTATGGTTGACGTCATTGTTGTGGGTGCAGGAATGGCAGGTCTATCTGCAGCGTACGAGTTGAAAAAAGCTGGTCTTTCTGTGAAAATTCGTGGGCAAACAGAGCGCTATGGAGGAAGAGTCTATACGTATGGTAAAGAAAGTGGTCTTGCATCTGGTTTATATGCAGAAGGTGTGAGTTCATTAGCCAAGGTTGTTTGCATGCTTAAATTGAACATCGTTTTATTTAAATGATTTATTGAAATTCGTTGAATTAACTCTTGAAAAGCCCATTTTAGACGTTTATAAAACTGCTAAATATGCTATTTAAGTACAAAGTGTCATGTAAATTAACACCATAAATGGTTTTGAAAATTTTGCTCAATATTATTGGGATTGCATTTGTGGCAGATGGGTTTCGTAGAAGAAAGTTCGGAGTGAACTGAGGCACGTGAATGTTAAAATTTTCAACCAAAATAAAACAAAACGACAACGCCGTCTAAATGTTGAAGAGAACTGCGTTGAGGACGCCGTCGTGTTCTCAACTTATTTTGGTTTAACATTTTAGGATGGGTCGCTGAGCAATAGGTTGAAGTTAAAAATGACTTATTATAATTTCATAAATAAAACACAATTTCCTTTTTATCTTAGGTAATTTAGCAATCAAAAGAAGGTCATTTACAATGTTACAGAAGGTCATTTATAATGTTACAGAAGGTCAATGTCATCCCTATTTTTAGAGATGACACTTAAAACAGAGACATATTAAACACGTAATCCTTTTGTCGGCCAAGGACAGGATTAGTCAATTTAATTAATACCGACTCCATGACGCGTAGCTGGAATAACGAGCGACATTTTTTAATAATTTTAAAGTTTTCTTCAGAATAAGCATTGGCACAGTGAGTGTTGCTTAACATCTTTGGAAAACATCTTTTAAGCAACACTTGCTGTGTCCTTTTCCGACAAAAGGATTACGTGTTTAATCTGTCTCTGTTTTAAGTGTCATCTCTAAAAATAGAGATGATATTGACCTTCTGTAACATTATAAATATAGCATGTTTTGGAGGTTATCATTTTGCAGACGTTGACACCTGACGAGTAGTCTGCCGAAATGCATAGTGTCTCTTTCTAGCTGTAAATAACGGTTCCTTTGAATTGTTGGGTTAGTCTCTTGTTAAAACAGTTCTTTTAAGAACTATTACATTGTTATTATCACCATTCACCATGGTATTTGCTATTTTGAAATCCATCTTTAATATTGTATTATTGCTAGTACGCTTCTGTAGACGTAAAAAATTAAAAAAAAAACTCACGAGAAAGATGGTGCCCGGAATTGGTGACCTGCTCAGTGTTACATGTTTATAGCTATAACAAAGTTTTGAGATGTTTTATTAGTCCTCACCATTTTATAATTGTTTGAGTTCTATATTTGTTTTAAAATAATAAATCATAAGTATAATGCAAGAGTGTGATGAGTACCATGTCATAAAACATATGTCAACCGTTTACTTTTGCATTGACTATAAAAAGGAAAACTAAGAGGGCATCTTATCTGATCTTAAATTGACTATTCAAGCTTTGATAAAATCAATTAAGTTGAATTATGCTTACTATTGAAATCAAGAGTTTAATTTGATAAAAGTGTCATGTAACCTTACTATTATACATGCCCTTTAGTAATTTGTGCGAGAGATGAATTGTTTTTTCTTTGTTTTTTTAGCAGGGGCTATGCGAATTCCTTGTGATGCCGATGGTCAATATGAGGGGCAACATTATTTGACAAATGGTTACATCAAGAACTTCAATCTACCAATAAAAAATTTTCCAAACTACGATGAAAATGCCGTTTCTTGTATCTATGGGTTTCGCGAAAAAACTAAAAGTAAATTTATTAAAAGTAGACACTACAAAAAGTTCATAATAAAGTTCTATATGTTTTGCGAAGTAAGAGGATATACGTGAAGAGACTAGGAACAGAAAAATTTCTCTTAATATACGCCTCATCTAATTAGCCAATTTCTAATTCGCTTTTTAGCGTTGGTATCTTCGCAAAATACACTCAAGCCATTAACATTTTTTGTAAAATTTGTAACCTGCTTGAACCACTTGATACGCAATTAACAGTTATGACGATAACCTTAACTTCTAAATACTGTTAATATAGCTGTTTATTTAACTTCATTATCATTGAATTTGAAAGATTGTACTACGACTTTTTTAGTTTGGTGTGAGAAACATTTCATCAAAATTTGGCCAAATTGGAAAGATGGTATAAAGGAAGAGTTAAAAGGAGATATAACTGATATTTGTATGTTTAATGAGACTTTTTTCCCCCAGTTTTTATAAGCCAGCCATCAAAATTAAGAGACTATTTACATGGCAAGTTGATAACTGTTTGATTTGATTGCGTTGGACCATGATCAGGATTAAAACTAGACTTGTTTGTTTTCCTTTTGGAGATAAATATTACCAAGAAACAACAGATGTCGTCACTGGCCAGCTTTGCATTTAGTGATCGAATTCCAAGAGCGTCGTTGATCAAGTCTATGCTTGGGATCGATGGATTAAAATTTGGAGTCGGTTCACGGTGGAAAGTTTTCTTGAAAGTAGTATTAATGTGATTAAAGCTAAAGTGTCGGTTGAAGACCAGAAAGACTTAGATTTAGTGAAACTTGAAAACCTTTTGCCATGGTCTAACGATGCCGTTCGTGGTTTTTCTGTATTTTGCTATGTGCCCGAAATTGAAATGTCCATGGACCACTTTCTTTCTTTTAAACTGGGAAAGTGGTCATCTGGTAAGATGCATTGCTTGAAAGGTGGTATGCATAATTTGCCCAAAGCGTTTTTAAAAAATGAAATATTAAGTAAAGATGACATAGAATACAAGAAGCAAGTATATGAAATAAATTACGGATATCAAGAAAAATATCCACTGAAAGATGTCGTAGAGGTGTCATGTTATTCTGTCAATGATGCACCATGTGTGTATAAGGCAAAGGTGAGTTTAGGAAATTTAAATTATTTTGTTATTTGCAAGTTCACTTAACACAAAATTTGAAAATCATAATGTTTTTCCCTAATATTGGATCTTTTTTAAGGAATGCTTTTCTCCTGAAACCTTCTATGTACTTTTCGATTATTATTTTTGGCTTGCTAATGTGTTGCAAAAATTGCTAACAACCACTAAATTGTACACAGTGCATTTTTTGATGTTTATTCCACTTTAGAAGGATTTTTCTGTGTAAACACCATTTTCACAAACAAGCCTAATGTAATGACGTGATTTTTAAGCATGTTTGTGCGTGTCTTCTAGCGACATCACTGAATCGAATATATCAATCCTACATTGTTCTTGAACCAATGGCTAACAATTGTAAAATGTTTCAGGAAAACTTTGAACTATGAATAGAAAATACTATCCTCTTACATAAACTAGAGTGTGTGCTCTTCTTGTTCAAGAAATGAATAATCGCAATTGTACATGTGTTTTGTTGTTGTGTCGGCAGTAATTATTACCACGCCAATAAACATTTTGCGTCAAATAATATTCAAATCAAAGCTTGATGACATCAAATCCCAGTTGGCGATAAAAAAAAGCGAGCGTCCAGGCAATGGGAAATGTTTTTAATCAGCATTCAACAAAAATCTTTCTTCAAACCAAAGAAAGATTCTGGGAAAATGAAGGAATTAAAGGTGGATTTTCAAAGACAAACCTTCCCATAGGCCAGATTCATTACGTCACCCCGGAGGACTGCAAAACGAAAGAGGGCTTTTAATGATTTACACGTGGACGAAGGAGGCTCTGCTTTTTGGGTCGATGAAAGAAAAAGTGGTAAAACGGAAAGTAGTTGAACAACTCGAAGAAATTCATCCAACCTTCAAAGAAGATATGGTGACAACCTTTATTGTTCATGCTTGGAATAATCTGCCATCTTATGAAGGATCGTATGGAGAAGTGAAAACATCTCATTACGAAAGTACAAGGTGCGAAATTTCGGGGCTATTTTCCTGTTTCTTATAATTTCTTCAAGGGCCATTCTTTTCTAACGCTTTAGGAAAACGAAAACATTTACTTTTAGTTTTCGTTTTTCCTCCTTAAAATGCAAATAAAATCGGGTTTTTGTTTTATCCACCTCTACAAAACCAATATTAAATTCAAGTGTAAGCAAAAGATTAAACATCTCATTAACGCTTAGCTGCATATTCCCTGTATAAAAGCAAGCTTTTGCAAAAATAGCAGAACAGCAGCTTTGATGGTTCACCGTGCAAGGTCAACGCACGATGTAGTTTTCAAACGTTGTTGCTTCGTTGAGCTCGTTTGAAACTTCGTTTGAAACTTTATAATCAATAATGTTTCCTTTGTGGTAAACAAAAGCAAGCGAACACGAGTTTTATAATCATCATGTAGCTAGCTAGGAATACTACACTTTTTAATGCCGCGAAGTCGTAACAGATTCTACTTGTCGATGACATAGTATCAACGAAACGATATTTGATGGTTTAAGGAGAATATATGAATCTATCAAGCGAAGAAAGTTCATTATTTTGCACTTTGTGTTGTATTTATATTTTACAGTTTGTTTACCCGTCCTTTTACCTCGCAGATACAAGGAAGTTTTGCAAGTCATATTGTTTTGAATGTACGCTTTTGGTTAAATTAATGCTCTGATTTTCAGAGTAAACACTGCAGTCGTATTATAACTAGGACTACAATGTCACACTCTCCAGAACAAAAAATTCAATTTAGAAATTGGTTTTTTAGAGATTGGCGCAACAAAACAAGAAAAACGAAAAGAAGATTATAATTTTATTTTCGTTTTCTTAACGTACAAAAAACAAATGGCCCTTTGTAGCGCAATTTGACAACATTTGTTGTTTGTTTTAACAATTCGCTCTTATATTTGTAAAAGTGTTTGAGAAATATAGGAAAATTCATCTTTATATATGGTAGACTTCTAATCAAACTACTTTTTAACGTACATAATATTTTTTTACCCAATTAGGCATTTATGGGAGCCGATGGGTAACGTTCATTTCGCTGGTGAAAGAATTTCTTTTATCCGTATGTGGATACAAGGTGCTTTAGAAAGTGGTTTAAAAGCTGCATTTCAAGTTTATGAACGACATACGGAAAGAACCTGGAACCATACGTTGTGAGCTTTTTCTGTAATTGAGGTTAAAGTTTGTGTCCACTATTTATGAAAACCTTTATAATCTACCTTATAGTTTCATGTATTTGGCCGTTGACGTACTGATTTATAACATTTTTAACACACTTTTCTTTTTCTGTGTTCGCATTTCAAGTAATTTGTCTTTTCAAAATTAAATCAAATTTTAAAAAGATTTTATAATTTTTGTTGTCTTATTTGAAAACGTTTCAGTCTTTTCAACGATTAATTTTTTTTGTTAAATTTGATAAACATTGGAATCGTGGAAAAAACCTGTTAACAATATATGTAGGATAACTTTATATAGATACACTTCATTGAAAGAGGAAGAAATTATATTAAAGTTAGTTAAATATCCAAGTAAATGAAGTAAATTTAAAAAATAACATGTTTTACTTTTCCGGAATTTTCTTCAAAAGAACTTTTTTTTCTGAAAAATTTCCGAGACTTTTCTAAGAGACAGCAGTAGTTACATGAAGTACTTAACTTTTTGCATCCAACAACAAACGACACTAAATTTTGGTCTGCTAGGACTTTTTCCTTATAATATTTTCAAGCATTGTAAGTTTGTGAAATTAAAAACATTTAACGTCACATAAAGAGTGTTAAAATCCAAAGATTTTGTCATTGATAGTTTAATATTTTTGGTCTGTCAGTCTAAAATATAAATGTTTGTACATAATACATAAAAGATACAAAATACATACTGTTTTGCCCATATATAGAGTATATTAATTAGAGCTAATCGTGCTTCGATTTGAAAAAGTCAATTTAAATCACAAGGATTTCAATACGTGATAATTGACATTTTAGAGCTCAAATAGCTTGGACGATCTACATGGTTCCATAAATGATTTTCTTTGAGAAATGAGTTGTATATTCAGTAATGCATTAGTAGAGTAGCTATTGAGTTATTTGAGTCTTTATTTGCTTTTGCAGTAAGTTTGAGTTTCTAACCTTAGGCGAAGGTAGCCTCCCAGCCCACAAAAGTAAACCATTTTATATTTTTCATCACGCATGCATACAGTTATTATTGACCAAAATTTACATTTCGCTTTGTCTTTTAAGACATATATGCATCCTACTTTTTCAAGCAGTCAGTGGCTTAAATAAATAAATAACAACTCGCACTGCTGTTTTTAAATTCAAAATAATTTTTGAGCAATTTAAATACTTTTTCGCCAGTGTTCTCAACTCTCTTCCGCTATGTGTTTAAACACATCGCTATACTTTAAAAAGAAGCCGCCACATTCTCTATTGGTCCTTGTACTATCCCTCGTCAATAACATTCCTCACAATACTCCAATTGTATATACCAAAAATTTGAAGAGTATACTTTGAGTACTCTTTTGCAAATCTCTTGTGGTGATTGCCTCCTCTTCACTTTCGAAATCAGATTTCTCGTCCTTAAGTAAAGACGCTGGTAGTTATTTTTACATATCTTCAGCAACATCATGAAGAGTTCCAACTACCATATACCACGTGAGCCAACGAGCTTCCAAACTGTATATGTGATTCTTTGATATTTCCACGAATCTTCAGGCAAAACTCTCGAGCGTACGCTAGGTGCTTCTACTACGTTCAATTTCATCAAGCTTTCTTCAACCTGGCTTCTTTTTCCTCTGTCTTGCTTGATTTTGTTTCATTGTTGGAGGTTTCATTTTCAAGTATCTGTTCTACCTCAATCCACGAATTATAGTATCTGTCATAAATATTGGAGCATTGTTTATGGACACTATATACAGATACAAAGTTATAGAGAAAATAAAAACATATCTAACATTGTCACGAATATTACGAGTGGCGTGACAATGTGTTGATAATTTTGATATGCATTTGTCAAAAGAAGCTTAGGAAGACAAAGAGCATGCCAAAAATGCATTAGTGAAAATTTGCATACCGCATAAACAAGCACCAAATTCAGAGCTCACTCGGTCACAAATTAATTGAGAACGACCAACTGTAAGTACTAGTATCGATTATGGAATAACTGTCTCGCTCAGTCACAAATTTTCAGATAAATCATCTGTGCATGCCAGTCTGTTTGAGCATGAACAGTCGAATTTATTAGCTGCCCAACTTCATGGTTATGGCAAAGGCCAATTGCATCTACTAGAATTGATTTTGAAGTAAATAGCATGCTTAGTAACAATTTAATAGGGAAATCATCTAATCATGCGCTCGAGCATGCGCAGTCCACTCGAACAATTGTTCGTAGTCATGGCAACGACTAAATATATGTACTTGCACTACATTTGTGGCAATTAGCTCACTTAATCGCAAATTATCAAAGAAATCATCTGGGCATGCGCAGTAGTGACCTTTAATAATGCCACAACTTTTGTAAGCCTTTGAATTTAGGTATATATATATGTAAAACTACATATAGTAGATGTTAGCTAGCAGTGGAAGCTGGGTGCGATATAGTATGCAGCGGCTTAGGGGCCCACACTTCGGTCGCAACCGCACTCTCCCTGCGTTCCCCGAGCAAAGGCTATCGCAAGTGATCTCGGGGTTTGATGGGCGGAAGCTTGCTACGTATTGGCATCCCCAAGTAGGATAGCGTGAAGGGCCAAAATCTCAACCGAAACGTTAACATGCGGCGTTCTAGTGCCTTACGCTTAAGATGGTATCGGGAAGCAACGAAAACGGGTCTTTCGCTTTTGAATTATATCTTTTTGTTTATCTCATAAGAGAAACTAGAACATCCAAGGATACTGTAAAGATTAAAAAAACTTCTGCCTCTTTGACTATACGTTTTTTAGATGTCTTTTACAATGTAACTTTCTCATAACTCTTTGTGACAAACGAGAACCTTCTTATATATTATAACTTTCTAATCATGAACAAAAGCATCCATGGCTTTATGAAAAATGGGACTATCTACTTTTTATAATAGTTTTACAAAGATAACATTTAACAAGCAAAGCAATTTGTATCGTCTAACTTGCTTTCAACTCTTAATGTTATAAAATTTTGATTCATTTTGGATAGTAAATTTCTTTTTACCTTACAATATTTGCATAGTTCAATCTAGAAAGGAACTTCTCTTCTCGAGCAATTTAGCAATTTAACGGAACACTTTTCGGATACAAAGGAATTCTTTTGATCGCATATAGACAGCCGTCCAATTTATTACGTATCAAAGCGTATATAAAACATTTCAAATATTAAATCATATACAAATTTTCTTTCACATGACAAAATTACCGTCTATTTAAACGATTATTTAATAAAAAGTTACCTTTACAACTGAAACAGACCCTCCTTTTTCCAAGCATTTGCAACAACTCAAATTCGCTCCGAACTCTTCAATTTCTCGCAGCGCAGCCGTAAGGAATAAGCATCAAATCAGGAGACTCATATCCAACATCACAGCCATTTTGATTTCTCCCTTGATCTTTTTCAGCGTCAAGCTTATCTGAAGCGATGTTATTGCTTAAACTGCTCCACATGAGACTTGGAGAGATAAAAGGATATCGAAGTAGCTGCTGTGCTGAGCATTGGTTACCGTCCTCTGGATATAGACATCAATACAAAGTATATGACATTCAAAGACAGTAGCTATAACTTCTTCCTCAATTTTAATGCTTGTGGTTCTTTATGATGTTCATTTTTTCAAGTGAAAGCTTGGAGTGGAAGTTTTCAAGCATGGCTATTATTATATTGACAAATGCATATTCCCAGAAGGATAACTTTCTTTATGACACTGCCATTCAATGAAAGAGAAAGCTAAAAAGAGCCTTTCAATTCATCAAAGACAAAACTCTTTTTTCCATTAATTTACTTTTAAATAAAACACCTAAAAGTATAACAATAGAAAACAAAAAGTGTCGAAATACGTTTATTTGAATCATTCCTTATTCGCAAGAATTAAAGAAAATAACAAATAGTAACTCTTTATAGATATATATTCAAATTGTTCACACTTTTTTCATGTTTAGTTACACATACATACAGTTAGCACATACAATATTGGAAAGTTTCAACCTGTAAATGAACGTGAACTAATCATCCTACAAATAAAATTTTGTGGCCTGCCTGAGCCACGGCGGGAATATTTTAATTTCCTTTTGATGAAAATTTCCGAGATGTTGTAGTAATATGAAAGAATGTTATGTGCAGTGCGGTGTTGAAATTAAATGAAGATATGATCTTCGCACTTTTTGCTAGACAATTTAAGCAATTGTCTCATGAACCTGAAAAAGACAGGTGACTCAACGGGATTCGAACCCATGACCTCTGTGGTGCCGGTGCAGTGCTCTAACCAACTGTGCTATGAAGTCACACAGTAGAGATTAGTTCAATTTGTTGGACTCATGTTTTCCCATGAAAGGAATGTTATATGACAGAATGTTATATGCAGTGCATATTGCAATCAAATATAAACGAACTTTGTAAAGCAAACAGAAAAAAAAACGAAGCAAAAAAACCATTTGCAAATGTGAGTCGAAGGAAAACACACGGAAAACAATTCAACTTTCCAAATGATACAAATTGAAGCGATTCCTTTTTTACTGACACAAAAAAGAAAAGTGAAAGTCATCCCGTACAAAGTAGCAAAGAAGAGGAAGAAAGCAATTTTGTTTTAGGTCAAATAATGCCATATAATAAACTTTTTACTAACTTTGCTTTCTCGGTCTTTACTTAGAAAAATCAGACCTCTGTCTTTTTGTACAAACCTCGCCCTACGGGTTTGGTCTGTTCATAAATACCTCTGTCGGATAATTCTCTGTAAAACCTGGCCCTCAGTTATTAGCTAAGGGCTTAGTAAACTTGCTCCATTTTTTTGCTGAAACAATCGGTGCAGATACAGACCCAGCTTTACACTTGGTTGTCGAAATCAGAAAGTGTTCATGATCAAGTCAATGTATGAGGACGTTGGATTAAAATCTGGAGTCAGTTTACCTTTGGAAAGCTTTCTTGAAAGTAATATCGATGTGATCAAAGCTAAATTACCTGTTAAAGATCAAGCAGACTTGGATTTAGTTAAACTTGTAAATCATTTGCCATGGTCTAACGATGCTGTTCGTGGATATTCTGTATTTTGCTATACGGAGCAGCTTGATCAGTCACTGGTTTCCTATTTTGATTTTGAACTGGGAAAATGGTGTACTCGTGAAATGCATTGCTTGAAAGGGGGGATGCATAGTTTTCCGAAAGCGTTTTTCTACG